AATTTTAGACAATATCATATAGAAGAAAAAGCATAGCTAAATATGTATTTCCAAACTTCCTTCAAGCTTATTGAAGTGATCAAGAGAATTGGTGACTTATCAATTCTTTCAGAAAACTGCTTGCGATTTCAATTTTTTTTTTTGTTGACTATGTGAATTAAAAAAATATACTAAAAGAACATAAATATTGATAATAATAATTAACTAACTTGTTAAGTAGGTTATTATAGACAACTAAATTTCCTATTATTGGAAAAGAATATAATGGAAGAAAATACTTGAGGATTTCAGAAATTTTTTTTCAAAGTCCTTGAACTAACTGAGACGACAGGAAAGAAAATTGTCGAGTACATTCGACAAAATTTGTCAACCTTTGTGGATGATGTTGAAAAGTTACTTTTAGAACAGATGCGCTTAGAACTTCAGTCCGATAATGCCTCCATGAGCGACTATGATACAGCCTGTATCGCGTGGTAAGCTCGAATTTCAATGTCGTGAATAGTTTTTAAAAATTTGTCAACTCCATTCTAAATTCCCAGGAAATTATTGGCAGAGAGATATTACCGGGATCGAACCCCTCTATAAGATACAAATAGGCAACATCTATGGAGAAATGCTAGCTATCTTTCTATTAATAGTTTTTGTGCAACTGGAATTTTCATGATAATAAACCAGTCATGTAGAACATCAAGTAATTTAATTATGATGATTTAATTTGCTCATTAAAATGTACAAAATTGGGAGTTGAAAAGTTTTTTATGTTGACATTCGTAATGTTAGTTGCAGATCGAACGTTTTGATGGTTCAAAAAGTTTTATGTTCACATATATATATATATAATATTAATTACTGATAAAGAAGTTTTGGTTCTCCAGAACTAGAACTCCATTGCAGTGAAGTGGAAAGAACATGTAAAATATTGTCTTAATTCATAATTGTGTGAAAGGATTAAATTATGCTACTAGTCTTCTGTTTTGGGGCCAATGGTTTTGGTTCAATTTCATTATTTTTTTGTTAATTAGTTTTCTTTTTTTTTTTTTGTTTTACAAAAGAGGTTATAAGTATTTGATTCGAATTTCAGATATGTTGATTTTTTAAAAATGATTGTATAAATTAATTAAAATTTTGTTTAATATTGTTTTGGAAAATTTTTTTATCTGAACACAATGTTAAATAATAAAAAAAATTTTGCTTTTTCACCTTAAAATTTTGGTTTTTCAATCTAAACAAAAAAGTTCTTCAAGAGGTGTTTTTACTTTAAAATATATATTTGAAATAAAAAATCACTTTATTTTCTTATATTTTTAATATTTTATCATTTTTATAGGTATCTTTTTAAGAATTTTAATTACTTATATAATTTTTTTTTAACAATAATATCAAACACTTAAAATTTTTTCGTTACCTTATTTTTTAAATGCATTTTTGTCAATCAAACTTTCTTACCATATTTGTAATGATTTTTAATTTTTTAATTTATATAACAATCATTATAAATTTAAGTTTTCGATATTTATTTATTAATATGAAATAAGGCTGGCAGGAGATGTATAGGATTCAAAGTATATTGGCATCATTACACATTTTTGTAATAAACTGAATTGGTTTAATTATTGTGTGTTTGTTTGCTTCTTTTTCCCTTTTTTGGTTTTAAACGCAAAATTTTCTAGAAAAGAGAAAGAAATATATATATATATATATATATATATAGCACAGTCAATGCTATCTATAATACAATAATATCTCATAGCTTTTGTTAAGCTGACAATGTTAGACTGCCATTAAATTAAAACATTAGTTATCCTAAACTTTTTGAATTCATCCATCTATTGCTATTTTTTCCTATTAAATGACTTGACTAAGATAAATTATTATAAAATTGGAATAATAAAAAATACTAAGTTCTTGAACTATAAGAACACTCTCTAATTTTTTTTTTCCTACAAGGATTTTGAAAAGAAAAGACAATTTTTAAATCTTTAAAGTTTTTTCTCTGTCGTATCAATTGATTCATAGACTTCGAAAACAAAAGCAATTTTCAAATTCTCAAGCATTTTTCTTTTTAAATAATTGAAAATTTAGTTATCTATAACAATTTAGTCAATAAAGTTAAATTAGTTACTACCATTAACATTTACACTTTTTGAGTGTGCTTTTTCAAGTCTTATAGATAAGTCTTCACGGAGTGATTTGTGGCTATGACTAAGACACATGAAAGTAATTAAATGCTAATTTTTATTAGAAAATTAATTGTTAATTATTTAAGATGATTGAATTATTACATTCTTGGGATTTAATTATCTTAGGATGTTTAGGGATTCATGAGAAAACCATGTAATCTCATTCGTTTCTTTTCTTTTTTTTTGGTTAAAAGGTTTGTTCAATTTGAAGACTATAAACATACAAATTATAAGGGTATTTGTATTGAGAATATTGACTTAAACGTTAAAAAAAAAAAATTAATAAGAGATTTAATTGAAATTTTTTCAAGATAAATTATATATTATTTGAAGGAAAAAAATTGAAAGACAAAAATTTTAAGAGTAAAGGAAATTTTTGTTTGACCAAAGTAATCCAAATTCATTTTGATTTTAATCGAAATAATCTGAATTTTTCTTGAACAAAAATGAACAATCCAAATCAACATGTCAATTTGTCATCTCTACGTACCATATCTTGTGGGAAGTTCAAAATTGAATTTAAAAAAAAAAAAAAGCAAAATGGATTCCTTTGTTATTGCTATTTTTTCCCATTAAATGACTTGATTGAGCTAAAATATTATGAATTTGGTATAATAAAAAATACTAAGTTCTTGAACCATAAGAACATTCTCCAATTTTTTTCTCTATCATTTTAGTTGGTTCAACGATTTTAAAAAGAAAAGACAATTTTTAAATTCTTAAAGTTTTTCCTCTGTCGTGTCAATTGATTCAAAGACTTAGAAAACAAAACCAATTTCAAATTCTCAAGTTTTTTCTTTTGTCCTCTTCTTTTAAGTAATTGGAAATTTTATAATAATTTAGTCAATAAAGTTAAATTAGTTAACACCATTAACATTTAACGCTTTTTGACTATGCTTTTTCAAGTCTTATAGAAAAACCTTCACGGAGTGATTTGTGGCTGTGACTAAGACATATGAAAGTAATTAAATACTAATTTTTATTAGAAAATTAATTGTTAATTATTTAAGATGATTGAATTATTACATTCTTGGGATTTAATTATCTTAGGATGTTTAAGAATTCATGAGAAAACTATGTAATCTCATTCGTTTCTTTTTTTTGGTTAAAAGGTTTATTCAATTTGAAGACTATAAACATACAAATTATAAGGGTATTTGTTTTGAGAATATTGACTTAAACGTTAAAAAAAATTTAATAAGAGATTTATTTGAAATTTTTTTCAAGATAAATTATATATTATTTGAAGGAAAAAAATTGAAAGACAAGAATTTTAAGAGTAAATGAAATTTTTGGTGAGTAAGTTAGAAGTATTATATTGTGAGTTTTAATAATTGTAAGTATGAAAAAAAGATATAAAAAATAATATTTTACAAGATAAACACTTCATAGTATTAGAGAAGAATAATAGGAGTACTCGTGAGTGTATATGTTTGATTTATTACACTTCATAGGATTAGAAAAGAATGAAAAGGTTTATCGGTGTGCGTGAATATTTATTGTTTGGGTTTGGAATAATTTTAATATTAAAAGAGAATAAAAGGATATATAGATATTGATTGTGAATATTGGTCGATTTAATTGTACATTTATAATTTTTTATATCTAATAAGTCTTTTCTTTTTTTATTTGTGGATGTAGATAAATTAAATATCAAATTATATTAAATTATTATTTTTTATATGGATGATGATTTATGATTTGAGTATGCTTATATTTATTTGAATAATTTATTAATTGATTGGATTTTTTGTGCCTAACAATTTAATTTTATGAACAAAATTATTAATCTTCTTTTATTTTAATTACATTTGGGTCCAGATTTTTTTAATCTTTTTGCATTTCAATTGGTTTACAATACTTTGAGAAGAAAAAGAAATTTGGAATTGCAAGGAGTTTTCCTAAAGAATTAAAAAGTCGTCAATTTTATAAGACATTAGTATAGATCACTCCAATTATTTTCAAGGAAGTTTGGAAGACCAAATTTAGATTGTGTTTAAGTCAAGAAGTCTTATAATTTATCTTCAAAATTTCCACTATCTGTGCCAACTTTTTTATGCTTATTTCTTCGACCTTATGTTCAATCCTTCTCAACTAGTAAGAAACTTAACAATTTTTTTAATTCCTTTTTATTTAGAAGCATTCTTTTGGTTGAAGCTGAGAACTTGTATGCCTATTTAAGGATTGAATGAAAAACATTAATCTAGTTTCTCTCTTAATCTCTCTTATTAAGTGTGTATGTTTTGTCTAATTTTATATTAATTTGTTAATTTATTAGTTCTTGAGCATTGTTGCATCGAAATGTATTATCCCATTTCTTCATTCAAAAGTTTAATACAATGAAATCAGATATTAACTTAGTACTTATGATTTAATCTTTCATAAATTTTATGTATATTATTTATTGCTTGCTAAAAAAGAAATTTGCTGCTATACTTTTGTGTTCTTAATTGACCTAGACTTAAACAACTTCAAAAATTATTAGCATTGTGAAGTAACAATCAGGAAAAAGACAAACATTTGCATGATGCCAAAGCTAAGTTTAATGCAAAAATTAAGTCTTACTTATTATTTGTGAGTTTGATTGAATTTTATGTTGGATTTGTTAATTATTTGTTGGTTCATTTGTTAATTTATTTCTTTCATTTAATTCAATAAATTTTTTATATGAATTACTATTTAACTATAATAGTAATTTTTTTTGTATTTAAAAATTTATAAAAAAAATAATGAGATAAGGATATATAGTACAATGTGATGTAGTAGTCTATAAATATGGTGTATGGACATATGTAACTCAACAACCTTTCCTTCATTTTTGCAGACAGAAAACATGAGCCCTCTTCGTATACTAATTTCACTCTTTTTGCCTACCTTCTTCTTCTTGTCATGCTCCTCCATACCAATTGTGCTATCTAAAACAATTATCCAGAGCCAATGCCTTGATGACCAGAGATCTGCTCTAGTTCAGTTGCAGCAAGATCTTTACTTTTCTCCTAATTTTACTTTTTCTTCCAAAGTTGAGCTTTGGGATCTCAAAACAGATTATTGCTCCTGGAAAGGAGTCACATGTGATGCTCTTGGTTATGTTGTTGGCCTCGATCTTAATTACAAATACTTTTCAGGAAGCTTCCATTCCATTTTCAATCTCCATAATCTTCAACGCCTTAATCTTGCTGGAAACAATTTTAATACCACTCTGTTTCCCTATGGGTTTGAAGGGCTCCCAAATTTGACTCATCTAAATCTCTCAGACTCATGTTTTCATGGTCAAATTCCAATGGCAATCTCACACTTAACAAGGTTAGTGTCTCTTGATCTATCTAATCAAGATTATTGCTATTGGAGAAATGATCAAAGTGTTGATTCATATGATGATTATTATCCTATTCTAAAATTAGAGAAACCAGATTTCAACTCATTAATCAAGAATTTGAAGTCTCTCACAGAGCTTTACTTGGATAGTGTGAACATTTCAACTCAAAGTATTAAATGGTGTGAAACCATATCGTCAACACTTCCAAATTTACGTGTGTTAAGCATGTCATCCTGTGATTTGATAGGTCCACTTTGTTCTTCCCTCTCCACACTCCATTTTCTTTCCAAACTTAACCTGAATGATAATCCAATCTCTTATTTGCCTCCCAATTTCTTGGAAATTTCCTCTCGATTGGTTTTTCTCAGTCTATCCTCTTGCAATTTGAGTGGGCATTTTCCAATTGAAGTTTTCTTATTGCCCAAAATACAAAGCATTGATATTTCAGCAAATTACAATCTCATGGGTCAGTTGCCAGAATTTCCAATTAACAACAATTTACATGTCTTATCACTTTCCTGGACAAATTTCAGCGGAGAATTGCCAAAATCAATTGGTAATCTTAGGTTCTTGACAAAATTAAATCTTGTTGGTTGCTATTTCTTTGGATCCATTCCATCATCAGTTGCAAATCTTACTAATCTTGTGAAACTGGATCTATCATATAACAATTTTAGTGGTTTAATCCCTTCATTTCATAAATCTGGAGTTCCAAATCTTGCATTTCTCAATTTGGTCGAGAACCAGCTTTCTGGAAGGATACATTCTTCTTTATTTACTCTCCCATCATTGGATACATTGTCTCTTGAAAGAAATCAACTGGTTCGTGAAATTGATGAGTTCCCTAATGCATCTTCTTCGGTGATGAGATGTTTGAGCTTAGGCGATAATTATTTAAAAGGATCCATTCCTAACTCAATCCTTCAACTCCCAAGGCTTGAATCACTTTTTATTGGCTACAACAACTTCGGTTCTATGAAGCTTGACATGTTCTTTCAACTCAAGAACTTGAGGTATCTTGATCTATCCAATATGAGCTTGTTAATTGGAAGCAACAATAAAAGCCTTACATTTCCCCAATTGGAGGAGTTATACCTAGTGTCATGCAACCTTGCTGGATTTCCAGAATTCATCAAAACACAAGGCAATTTGGCTTATCTAGATCTTTCTAACAACCAAATCCATGGCTTTGTGCCTAATTGGTTGTGGAAGGCCACTTATTTATACGTAGACCTTTCTTTCAATGCCATTGATTTCCCAAAACAATTTCCCTTCGATGATGGAAACTCATCCTTTCCAATGCTAATGGAGTTGCATTTAAGATCCTGTAATATAAGTACATTTCCAGAGTTTTTAAAGAGTCAAGAGAATTTAGAATATCTTGACCTCTCAAATAACAAAATAAGTGGTGCAATACCAAACTGGTTGTGGAAGAAAAGTTTGGGTTATTTGTCTCTTTCTAACAATCATCTCTTATCTTTGGACCAATTTTTACCCAATCAGTCTCTAACTTCTTCACAAGGCTCTTTCCCCAAACCTATTTGCAATTTGAGTCAACTTTACCTTTTCAATGCATCTTATAACAATTTGAGCGGCCAAATTCCAGATTGGTTAGGCAATATCAGTACTCTCTCTTTGTTGGATCTTCAAGGAAATAACTTCAGTGGAATCTTACCAAATTTTGCAGCAGTAACCCAACTATGGGTACTCAAAGTTAGTAAGAATAGATTGGAAGGGAAGTTGCCAAAGTCATTAGCCAAATGCACTCAACTCGAAGTTTTGGATGTGGGAAACAACATGATGTATGATACATTCCCTTTTTGGTTGGAGAAATTGCCAGCATTGAAGTTTCTAATACTGCGAGAGAATAGATTTTATGGTCAAATTAAACATTCGAAACATAAAAATGGTTTTCCAGCGTTGGATGTACTTGACATTGCTTCTAATGAATTTTCTGGTGAATTATCCATTGATTTCCTTCAAGCTACTCAATTAAGGTCACTCAAAATGGGTGGGAATAAATTGGAAGGGAAGTTGCCAAGATCATTAGGCAATTGCACAAAACTTGAGGTTTTAGACCTTGGAAACAATATGGTTCATGACACATTTCCGGTTTGGTTGGAGAAGTTGCCTTCCTTGAAGGTTCTCATTCTACGAGCAAACAGATTTTACGGTTCAATTAAGAATTTCAAGACGGAATGTGATTTTCCAATGCTACGGATATTGGACATTGCTTTCAACAATTTTTCAGGTGACTTATCCATTGAATTTTTGCAATGTTTGGGGGCAATGACGCTGATGACTAATGGCAACAAAGCTAAGCTAGATTATATTGGAGAGGAGTACTATCAAGACTCTGTCACAATTGTCAATAAAGGGATTGAAATCTTTTATGAGAAAATCTTAACCATTTTTACTTGCCTTGACCTTTCCAACAATAGTTTCCATGGGAGAATACCAGAAGAAATACAATTTCTCAAATCACTCAAAGTGCTAAACTTATCCCAAAATAGCTTCTCTGGCCAAATTCCATTAGCACTTGAGAACCTAAAAGACCTCGAGTCTTTGGACCTCTCACAAAACAAACTTTCCGGGAAGATTCCTCCTCAACTTACAAGTCTAACTTTCCTGGAAGCACTAAACCTGTCTTACAACCAACTTGAAGGAAGCATACCACAAAGCAACCAATTCAATACATTTTCAAATGATTCTTACAAAGGGAATCCAAGATTATGCGGGCCGCCTTTGTCAAGGAAATGCAATGAAGTTGGTGTTCCAGTGCCCCATCCAAAGAAAGATGTAGATTCCTGGGTTGATGGTATGTCTGTTTGGAAAATTGCATTGATCGGTTATGGTAATGGGTTGGTCATTGGTTTATGGATGGGATATACAGTGCCGAATGAGTTCGGAAATATATGGCTAGACAAATTCAAAAGGAAAGGGAAAAGGAACAAGAGAAGCATCAAAATTCATGTTTCAAAATAGCTGGTAAGCATTCCTTTTAGAAACTTGGGAAATCTTTTTAAATTGAAAAGATAGTTGCTGCAAATTATTATATTCTTTAAATTTTGTAACCTCATTTTTTTCTCTCTTGACAAAGTTCAGTATCATATAATATTTGTTCTTGTAGCAGTGATATTCATTGTCAATGAGTCTGTTATGATTTTGTGTTACAATGTCATAGTGCAGGAGGAACCAGAAACAAGATATGGCATGTAAAAGGAAAAGAGACAGGTCTAACAACAAAATAATCTTAAAAGACCAAGCTCGAGCAAAGATCCTTTGTTGTTTAATTAGTAGCATACATGTTGTATCAATGCACCAAAAAAGACGAAGACAAAATGAGATTGTTTGAGATTAGGTCTTTGATCACAATGGAGATAGAGATGGAGATGGAGTGAGAATCTGGTCTATTTATCATTCTCTGAAGCCAAACCATTTTGCCATTCTTGTCTGGCATGGCTTATTTTGTATAAAAAATCCAGGTATGAATCTCTATTTCCCATTATAGGTTTTTCCCAAACCTTTTATAGCTCATAATAATTTCCTTTTAATATTTTCTTCATTTTAGTACAACCTCATTCCTTGTTTCTCTACTTCTACACTCGCACATAGACAAAGAAAATGTTGTGTTGTAAACTCTAGTGTTATATTAAGTTGATGTCAATGTAGAGTAGACCTTGACTTAAAAAAAAGACATAAAGGCAGTCCAAAGCGACTTTTAACAACTTAAAGATATGAATGGATCAAAATTTTTTGTGATGGTCTAAATTTGAAAGAATAACATTCTTAAATTGTTATGTGGACTTGATTAATTCATTAATTTTAGCTTTCAAGAAAATGATAAAAGCTTTTTATGAATTAAGTCTTTGCAAATGAAAAACTTGATTGTTTCTAGCGAAATGGAGTAACTTCATTCTTATAATTTCAGACGAATGGTTTGAGAAGATACAAGGGCCTGCAGGTTGCTGTTTGTTACCTATTCCATGGGAAAGAAAACATGGACTGCCAGGATACAGTTGGACATTCTTTGTAAAGGTTTATTCTACTTATCTGTAACTTATGAGTTATGAAATTGCTGCTTCAGCTGCATCTTACGTGCAGTCACAGGTAAATGACCTTTTCCCCTTTCGCTTCAAGTCCTTGCATGAGTGGACATAGACTGCGTTGTCTAAAATGACTCGAAGTAAGACAAAATTTTGTTGCAGGTGTCGAAAACCAAAGGTGGTCGCTTACTATGGAGCATCAACATAGATTGCCTGAGGAGGCGACGAAAGGCCCTTTGTTGTTTATGATGATGCACTTACTTCTGTATCATTCTAGTAAATCCTTTCGATAATTTATTCCATAGGTCTTTACTAGATATTCAAAATATGCACATTGATCTGATCTATAGGAAGCATTGCTCTGAATTCCAATATAGCAAGTAATGCATAATTCTTAAATCATTATCAAAATCTAAAGTTTTTTTTCCCTTTCCTCTCATATCTAACGGTATCTTTGTTGCAGGGACTGAAGTCCCTGGTATCTGGTAGCCAATCCTCTTCTTTGATCAAACTGCATTTAAGGTAAGGATCAGGCTGGAGTGCTCTATGAATATTGTGAATTAAACCTAAGCTTATGCATGAAGTTGACTAAATATGGAAAAAGTAATTCAAGATCACAATGGTTATGTACAGACAACATGCTTTCCTACTATATAATATATGCATGCATTCAAAATCATACGACAGGCAACAATGTTTTCAAAAACTTCAACCACCGTGCAAAGTGAACTTACAAACAAACTTTCAGGGGACTGGAAGCTAATGCCATTTTGAATGTACCATGTTCATGTAGGAAGTACTGGAAGTGCTCGTTTTCATACAGGAATTTATCTTTAAGTTTCAGAGAGTACTGTTTACGAGCAATTCATTCAAGAAATTATAGATTTGGGAGACTTATGAGGAGCATGCTACTCTTCAATTCACTGGCCATTTGGGTTAGTCTGATCTCTAGCAGTGATTTCTCGAATAATGCTATAAACCAGGACGGTTATTTCACTAACTTCTTTTGTTAATGCAGAAAATTTTGAACTATTCCAACAAGTGACAGTTCATCACGTTCATGGCTCCAAATCCCCCACTCCTCGAGGGAATTATTTCAATGCTTTGTACAACACCCAATTCAGATTCCTTGAACTGCCTTGGATCCTGCAGCCTTTGGCTCTGAAGGTACCTTCCTAAGAGATGAAGACGTTACGAGAAAGTTGAATACAATTGATGGGGTTTTAAGGAAACATCAAAAAGTTGATTTTCCTGAGAGAAGCCAATTATGGACATTGCTTGGTTCATCATCTCCTCACAGGCAGAGCTATGAGAGTGATTCAATTGGACTTTGGAGTCAGTAAATTGAATGTTAATAAATGTACAGAAGAAGCAAATTAAGAAATTGAATTGAGGTTTTCCTGTCATTTTTACGTGCCTTTTTCCTTTTATTCATTCATTTTGTCTAAATCTGATTCCAACTCTCAAACCATTACCTAGAAAGATTAACAATTGGATTTCAATAATTTTCTCGCTTCTCTTTTTTTTTTTTATTTTAGTTTTCTGAAAATTTCAACCTTCTCCATCTTTTCCTCTGCAAATAAAACTCATCTCACCAAGATTCCAGTCCTCAAATATCTCCCAAGAATCAAAATGACAAAAACCCATCTTAACCCTCAAGTCTTAATGCCTGAAACCCATGGTTCTCAAATGTGAGCAAAAAAAAAAAAAGCCTAAACATCAGAATGAATATAGCAAGGCACTTACCTGCAGCAACAATAATTTCAAGCATGACCTCCAAAAAAATACTAATAAAAAATGTTATGTATATGATTGCAGCAACAGTTATCTCAAAAAACTCATCACTGCATAATCTAAAATTTTCCCAACATCTGACAGGGAATGCATTTCCTTTAATATGGCATACAGAGAAGTGAATCTTCCAACTACAACACTAAACAAATTAAGAAATAAAAATGTTCATGGCTGCAGGCGTTGAAGCAAAACATCAATGAATGAAACACATTTGCTTAGTTTATATTCGAATGAAAAGCAAAGTTGTAAACCAGGGTAATGACATAATAAGATATGTGTCACCAAAAAGTAGATAATGTAAAGTGAAAATATGTCCTTTTCTTTTATCTTTTAGGCTAAACTCCAAACCCTCAATTTTAGAACTGACTCTAGTATCAATGAGCCAACATCTCATATACATACATATATATATATATATATATATGTGTGTGTGTGTGTGTCCTTTTCCTATATATATATATATATATATGTGTGTGTGTGTGTGTGTGTCCTTTTCCTGTAACTCAAAACAAGTTGACCATATAAAACTGTCACATCTCAAAGCCAAGGGTTTCAAGTATAATAACACCACATACTCATGAGACGAATCAGATAAGCAAGTAAAGCAACAAATACCATACTGAATAAAAATTTAGAACCTCAATTTTTTTCAAGATAACACCATACAAAATTTCAAAGTCTCCATATATCATATCTTACAAAACCTAAATTCTCCAAAATTCAGTGATATAATTTGGTCAAGGGTACAAAAATTCCACTAACTAATGAATTTACTAATAACTGATATCCAAAATACTCACATTTGAGAAACATGAGACTAAGGGCAGATACTAAACTTGCTAACAAAGCTCTCGTCCAAAGTAATCCTCTGGAGGTACAATTATCGAAAGTTGAAAAATAATGATTAAAGGAATGAGTATAAAGACTCAACAAGTAATTGAAATCCCCTCAAGTGGATTAAGCATGCTTCAAAATGATTTAGGCCAAATCACAACAATGATTTCATAATACAAAAGTTTCGGGTATCCATGTACTTGGAAATATATATGATTTCAAAATCTTATATCATATGTATACAAAACTAACATAGTTCACAAGTTTTAATTTCATAAGTTCAAGCCAAGTTTCATCTGTAATATGATACAAAAATTTAGTATGTTTTATATTCAAAATCATATTTACTCAAGATTGGATTCTCACACCACAACAAAATGAAGTTTCACAAAGATATCAGATATAACTATTTAAAATCACAATTGGGTAATCTGGCTTTCATAATTATATTTGCTCAAAGTCAGTTTCTCAGATATCAAACCTAAACAAAATTTTACAAGACCATAAATTTTATAAGTTTTATGTGACATTGGTTAGAATCAGAACAAAACCACAATTAACCCTAGTAGGCATATCAAAGACAACCAAATGGTTGCACTGAACAGAACAAAAACTAATATTCTGAAACTGTTGGCATGGTACGAAAATCACTATTCTTAACCGGTGGCACAGTACGAAACCACTATTCTTAACCCGGTGGCATGGTATGAAAACCACTATTCATAACCAGTGGCATGATATGAAAACCACTTTTACACCACAATGTACATGTTGGACATGACCAATGTTTAAACCCCATTGGCAGGGTCTAAGCAAAGCTATATCATGCACATTCCAAAATACATCTCATACAAAGCACAGTTTTGTATTTCCTTTTGAAATACCTTATGCGATAACTTACATTCTCAAATATAGATAGATATATACATATATTTGGACAAAATCATGTTCAAAGATTAAATACAGAACAAAACTACTTACCAAATCCATAACCAAGTTTCATATTACTTTCCAAAATATCTTATGCAAAAATCTGTGTTCATAAAGATATATATACACACAGACATTACGACAAAATTATTATGTTCAAAAACCGAAGTAAAACAAAATTCACACTCTAAATTCAAAACAAAGAAGTCAAATATACTTTGCATGTTTAACCCAATTTAACAAATCAAGGGACAAAATATCATACAATTCATACAAATATAATCACGTTTGGGCTGACCTTTAAGGTGTGAAAATACCAAAGAGATATCAAGTTACTTACTTGATTTGTTAAATCGATAGCATGCAACAAATCACTCAAATATCTTAATAACCAAAATATTTTAAAATTAGAATTTAACATAAAACATAAACTCAACAAGTAAAACTTCTCGGTGGCCATCTTAAAGCATCTAAGGCATGTGGCAACTTCCTTTACAAACCGGGACTATTTGAAATATGTATTCCTTTATTAAAACCATATTTCCTAATAATATGGATTCAAAAATAAACAAAATTAGAAATTAAGGTTGGAAAACATATAATCATTAGCAATATTTTATTTATTTATTTATTTTTTAAAGGTTAAATCATAAAATCATTTAAAGCACTTATTTTAAACTTTGTGTTTATTTGAGTTTTCCTTAAGACTACCAACATAAAAATAATTTCACAAAAGTACTTTTATAATAAAAAATTTTCACTAAAATCATGTAATTGAAGTTCATGCTATTTCTAATGAAAATGAATCAAAGTTGACCAAACATAATTTCTTAAAAAAATAATTAAATTTCTTTTTTTTGAATTCTGATTTTTTTTTTTTTAGAATTTCTTGATCCTTGGGCTGCCTTTGAACCAAAATATCTCCCAACTGCTATCGACTTTCGTGATGAATCAAAACAGAAAGTTAAAAGTATGCATGCAGTGCTAAAATATAGAATTTTATTTCTGCCAAAATTGTTGCCAAAATCATGAGTTTTAGAGGCAAGAAGATTGGAAATTATCACTATATGCCTAGATTTTCTGGGTTTTCAGCTTCATGAAGCTGACTTTGGAGCCTCAGTTCTTCCCTCTCAAAGAACCCTGAAATGAACCATTACCGTCGCATTAAAGAGGACACTTTCTACCTCAAATAGCACCCAAGTTTTGACCTAAGGAACTGCCAGAAGATGGATTTACGGTGATCCAAAGTTGAATCACCAGCACTGTCAAAGACCCATTTGTTGTCAACTTCAAAAATTAATTTTTCCTACAGTACTTAACCAAATGAGTTGCCACAACATGCATTTGAAAGGTTTCGAAGAGACCTTTCCAATTGTAACAAATATGCCACCGGAAAACCACCGAAATGTCGAAGAAAATTGAAAAAATTTGAAACCCAAAGTTGGGTTATGAAGAGAAATAACAAAATACAAAAATCTCAATAAAAATGAATTTTAATCTTACCTTAGAAATTAATTTGCAACCTTAAAAGGCCACGGTGGCAGCCTCCCTTCACTGCCGCTGCCCTTTTTTTTTTTTTTTTTGAAATCTGTTAAATGTTTTGGTTAAAGAAAAGAATGAATTTATATTAGAGAGAAAATCGGAATATTTCCTTATGACACTTCCATGAATTTTGTTGTGCAATTTTATCCCTATGGAAATATCATCGACTAACTAAACTTATGCAATTGAGTCAGTCTTATAATATTATCCAATAATCAACAAAATACCGCAAATCCTTAAGATTTCCAATAATATATCATAACACAGTAACAAATTTTTGGGGTATTACAAAAATATCACAATGTGAGTATCCAAAAACGTTTTGCACCAAGTAATGCATGAGCAACACAATAATAAAGATGAACAGAAATATTGAATGTAACAAAATTATAAACTGAAAAATTTTTTAAAAATCATATAAAAACCAAATGTTTAACAACTTTACTAATTGTTGCTTGTTTTGTTTATACATCAAACACAATATTTATTTTTATATTATAATAATATGTTTCTGCCCAACATAGCAATAATCCTAAATAATATTATAGACAAAAGGATAGATGAATAATTTTAACATTAATTTTTTATTTTATTTTTTTTATTTCAATGATTATTGATTTAAGGAGTATTTTAAATACACCACAAAGTCTTCTTTATGAAGGTAATTTATCGAGATGTCTTTGATCGATACAATCGAGCTAAACTTTTATGAAAATAATTTATTAAAATGAGCTATTTGATCGAGGTGGTCGAGATGAGTTCTTTTGACAAAATTGAGCTTTTTTTATCAAGCTGATCACTTTAGTCGAAGTGACCTAGCTAAGCTTTTATGAAAGCATTTTATACATTTGAACATTATTGACCGAGCTGAGTCTGAGCTTTTTGGCCAAGCTGAGTCCAAGCTTTTAGGCCGAGTTATTTTGTCGAATTAGACATTTATGAAAGCATATCTGAACTCTTTTGATTGAGCTAAGTTCAAACTCTTTGGTTAAGCTATTTTGTCAAATTGAGACTTTGTGAATGCATTTTATAAATCCAAACTCTTTTAGTTGAATTGAGTCCAATGTCTTAAGCTAAGCTGTTTTGTCGAGTTAGGTCTTTATGAAAGTATTTTATATATCTTAGCTTTTTAACTAAGTTGGGTCTGAGCTCTTAGGTCAAACTGTTTTGTCGAATTAAGTCTTTATAAAGGTATGATATAGATTTGAATTTTTTTAATCGAGTTGAGTATGAACATGCATAAAAAAGCTAATATTGAAAATGAATGGATTAACGGAATATGAACATGCATAAAAAAGTGAATAAAAGAAATAAAACCAATTAACAAACATGACAAAGAAAAAAGTTTATCAACATAAAAAGACATGTAACTTGATGATTAAAATTTTTTTAATCATAATGAAATCAATACATTTAGAGGCTATTGAAGACTAACCTCCAGTACTATTAGCATACAAGATTTTTTGTTTATAATAAAAATTTAAGACATTTTTATAAATTGAGAGTAATTTATGTAAAAAATTATAATGGATTATTAATTATTTGTGTAATATATTTTTTATTTTGAAAAGTTTACACAATATTTTAAAAAATTTTTGTAAGACAATTAATTATACCAATTGTAATTAATACTTATATAGGAGGAAATATACAAAAATATTTCCAACTAATTAGATTTTTATTTTAGGTTTGAATTGTTACCATTATATGCCTTATATATTCATTAAAGTTAATAAATACATAAATTATTTTTTAATTAAATGCTAAAATTACGGTCATTAAATAGTTAATGCTTTCAAAACATATTTCTTATTTATAATATACATGTTTGATATTTAAAATTAAGAATTGAATTTGAATGAAAATAATTTAAGATAATTTAATTGTAATACATTTATAAAAAGTCAAAATATTGGATATTTATAAAAAAAAAAAAATGAATAACCTAATTTAGTCAAATAAATATCTTTTAAATTAATAAAATGTACATGAAGTCAAATCAAAATAATTAAATGTAAGACATGTAATAATTGTTCAAAACAATCCACATGTCAAAAAAATATATTATCTATATTGGATTTTTATCTTATTTACCAAAAATTTTGGTTTTTATATATTTATATAAAATAAAATAAGATGAGATGCACAACTTATTGATCACAACCTGTATATATAAAATCTAATATTATAATGTATAATTAATTTTATAATAAAAACAAAATTCTAACATTATAACGTATCATTAATCTTATATAAATATATAAAATTATTATGTTATATATATTTATATAAAATAACATCTATTACTTAGTTATATATCATATTTAAGCAAATATGAATATACCAAATCATTGATTAAGGAATCAATTTTTAATCGTAATTATGGTGGTTATTAAATTTTTTATAATTAATACAAGATACAGTGACATTGATAAAGGTTGTTTATATGTCAATATTATAAGTTATCCACATTGAATATTTTTTTTTTTGCTAAATGTTTTGGCTTTTATATATTTATGTAAGATATAAGAAGCATCTTTTTTATCTGTAGCATTCATGTTTAATGCTTAAAATTAAGAATTGAATTTTTTGAAAATGATTTAAGATAATTGATTTGTAATATATATTTATAAAAAGTAAAAGTAAATGATTTTTAAAAAATAATAAATATACTTAATTTAGTCAAAATAAATCTTTTAAATAAATAAAATATGAAATCAAATCAAAATAATTAAATACAATAGACATGAAAAATTTTCAAAATTGTTCACATATTAATAATATAAATTATCCATATTGAATAATTTTTATTTTTATAAAAAATTTTAACTTTTATATATTTATATAAAATTTGAGACAACATCATGTAGAAGGAAAAGCATATCTAAATTTGTATTTCCAAACTTCCTTCAAGTTTATTGGATTGATCAAAAGACTTGGGTGACTTTTCAATTCTTTTCAGAAAAACTGTTTGCAATTTCAAATTATTTTTCTTGTTGATTATGTGAATTAAGAGAAAGAACACTGAAAAAACATAGATATTAATAGTAATAATTAATTACTTAACTTATTGAGTAAGTTATTATTGACAACTAAATTTCCTATTATTTGAAAAGAATATAATGGAAGAAAAAAACTTGAGGATTTCAAAAATGGTTTTGGCTTTGTAAGACAAAGTATTCTCACCTTAACTTGCCATGAGATTCAAAGCAAGAGAATCAATGCCTAGATCTAACACTCAAACCAATTACAGCTTTGTCAACTGATTGCATTTTCCAAGCTATCTGATTCAACATATATAAAACCAAGTCAGCCAATATGAAATGCACTTTCACTTACTAATTTAAACGGTTCATAAAAATGCGATTAAAGTGAATGAAAAATTTGCAGCCAACAAGGTTTATGCTTTTATTTCTGGAAACAGAGCGGATGAAATAGGCGAAGGCGAAGAATGAATTAATTTGGACAAGAAATCACTAGTATCGGGATTTCTAAAATATATTGTAACCAGTGGCGGATTTATATTGTTAGGTAAGATGTTCCTAAATACTCTAAAAATTACAAACCAAGAAAATAAAAAAAAAAATTTTTCCTAAACACCTCAAAATTTTTTCTTATATTTTTTCGTTGATAAAATTAATAAATCTGTTAAAATAAAATTTGATAGTATCAATAATGAATCTTGTTTGAATGATTATTTAATTATATATATTGAAAAGAAAGCATTGATAATATTAATAATGATGCAATTACATATATATATTTTAAGATATGAGCATTTCCAGTAGATAATTGTAATAATATAATAATATATTATTTTAAATTTTGTTTATAATTTTGTTTATATATTTTAAGTGAACACCCATGAAAAAATTTTAGATGGGTCACATATCATGACATCAAGAAAATTTGACTAGAACAACCTTCACAGTATGCTAGAATTTCAAAGGAAAGACAGTATCTTCTCAATTTCATTCCTTCCTCTCCCCCCCCCCCCCCCTCTCCAAAAAAAAAAAAATTTATCTGCATCAAGTTGCATATTTACATTAGATGCTGATAAAGTTTCCATGACCTTTCCAAAATAATATATATAGTACTAGTAGACTGAAGAAAACAAATTATACCAACCCTGTAACCTGGAATAGGCTCTGATGAAAAAAAAAAAAAAAGAGCCAGTATATTTCCACCTCTATGTTGTTTGACAGTGTTTAATGTCCAGTATTATTAACATCACTAACTACTTATTTATCAAAGGCCTTCATCACCTCTGTATTTCATCCTCCGAATATTCGGAAATCTTTAAGATAAGCTGGCCTCAAGTGAATCTATTAGTCAGGATTTAAATCACCAAACTTAAGATTCACTGATGTTGTTAGCTGCCATATTCAAAGCAAACTCATTACATACTGGCATATCCCTAACTTGATCAAGGAGCTTGGTAAGTTCCCTATGAACATGATTAAAACGTTCCTTTGAAAACAGTGACTCTGTCAACAGAGTTGCAGCTAGGGAATGAAAGGCTTGAGCACACTCATCACTGCTACATTGGCCATTTTGATCTTCCCCGGGAACCAAAGAACTCTCCAGTCGCCACCGGAACAGAACATATTTTTCTGGGATTTCGAAGTAGTTCTTCACTATAAGTACTCGAAGACAATGCCTGCATAACGTTCCGGAATGTTCAAATTCTTTACATGAACAATGAATTTGCTCATCTTGTGGTATCCAAATCACAAGATATTCACCATCCATTTTCTTATAGTGTCGCACAAGATATGATCCATTCGCCATTTCTGTTGTTGCATATTGCATGGACAGCACAATTTCATGTTGTAATGCATTGAATGCATAAGGAGTAAGTATACTTCGTGCATTTTCTTCAATAGGTAAGCATGTCTTGATATGCATGTATTGCACCCTTTCCCTGCTTTGGTTTCTTAAGTCAGCAGCAACACCAACCTGCCCAAAGCAAATATTTAAAACGTGGTTGAAACATAAGAGCTTTAATAAACAGGGAAAAGTTTTCTTACATTCCTGACCAACAAACCTGCTCAAAGAATAATTGTAAACAAGTCTGCCCACTCAAGATTCTTTTCAAAAATGCATCCAAAGACTGAGAAAATTCGGCTGTCATTGAACGAGCAAGAAAGCAACCTCTGATGTAAGAAAGCGGCCAGGATGTTCTAAATGAAAATAATAAAGCTATGTGCTTATCAGATGCAAGTCCAAAACGTGCAACCAAAATATTCCACTGATGTTCAAACTCCTCTATGCCCTCTAAGTGAAACAACATATCGAACTGAGCTTTGAACTCTTCATACTGTGGTCCAAGCGGCAGAGAGAACCAACTCGATAATTTGGAAAGAACATGCCATGAACATATAACATGTTTTGTATTTGGCAATTCCCTTGCAATAGCATCTCTTAGGCATGAATCTATATCTGTTAGAATTGTTTGTGGGCATCTACCTCTCATAAAACGAAGAAAAGTCTGTTCAAAAGAAGAAAATCATAAATACACAATAAGACAATTGCAGATTGATCACAAATAATTATGTCCACAAACCTGTAAAGCCCAAGCAAAAGAATTAGAACTTTCATCTTGCAGTAATACACATCCTAAGAAAATTGGCTTTCCATGATTATCTATACCAAACCATACTCCAAGAAGCAATCCATAGGTGATGGAACGATAAGTGGTGTCAAAGGTAACCGCATCACCAAATACTGTATATGCACGAACCGAATCTGCATATGACCATGAAATATTTTCAACCTTATTATTTTCATCTGTAGTGTAATCATAAACAAAATTAGCATCCCTCTCTGCCATAGCCTTGCACGCCTCAAGAAGTTCCAATGTATCATTTTCTCTCTTCTCAGTAAGCAAAGCATCATTTTCTTGAACAGTTTTTTTACAAGTCCGTACAAAATTCCTGACATCCTTTTCTATAAAGGGCAACTGTCCGGGCTGAACTCCCCTTTCTAGTTCCAACACCTTCACGATGCGATTGACAGGAAACCCAGCTTTGGAGAGTAACAGAATTCTTTCCTGATCTGCTTCCTGTATTTTCCGATATGCGGGAAGCAAACGTACTTGGTCATCTTCCAACAATTCATGGTTATGGACATTACTAAATTGCGAAACATACCATTGAGTAACACCATCGACGATTTCTTTTGTCAAATACAATTTTGCATCACATCCACATCGCACTGATTTCCGGTCTCTGGGATGCTCCACATTGGCCTTTTTTCTTGGTTGATTAAACCCAGATCGGTAACAGACAAAATCTCGCCGGTAGACCCCTAAATTCTGGCTTTCTGTGGAGCGTGCTTTTCTTATTGAAAATCCATTCTTCCGTGCAAAATTGCTATAGTACTCAAAAGCATCATCATCACTTTTGAATATTTGACCAACATATGGCATAAACACTGCTTCTGATGATGAGGACGTTGAAGCTGTCTCATTCTTTATTAGCTGAGAGCTTACTGATGTCTGATCATCTCCTTCAAACTTAACATAACACTTCCAATCTCCACATGCACACTGCTGGCGTCGAATCCAAATGTTATTTGATGGTTTCATTGTCATTTTGTGGGATATGAAGCGAAAGCTTTCTTAAATTCCCAACCTTGATGCTCTTCTACGCACCTGAGGAAACAGAAAGCCCCAAGAATTTCATGATCTTAGATTTTGGGATAAAGAAAACAAAGACATCCACAAGAATAGAAACAAGTTTCCCTAGGTAAGTCAAGGGGGCTTACATATTTGGTGTATAATTCTTCCAAAAAATTATTGCTTTTGTATCAAAACACATTTTTTGATTTTTTGCTTCTTGAAGCAAAAAGCAAAAGCAAAAGCAAAGCATCAATCAAATGAAGTCCAAATAAGTCAAAACAACCAAGAACTTCATACGGTTCCCTAATGCATTAATTTGAATAAGTAATTTTATGTTCTCTGTAGTTCCCTTTTTTAGTTGTCATTAAGTTATATTATAATTTTATTGAAATTAATTGTTAGAATTTATTTAGAAATGATTTACGTATGCACAGTTCTTGTAATTTACGTTTTATTTTGCAATTACACGATTTTTTATTGAAACTATGTAGCATATTTTTCAAACCTATATTTACGTACATACATCCATACATATACAATAATACGTGTGTTATCTTTATCCCCCCAAACCCCTTCTCCCTCTAAAAGAAGGGGGTAAAATAGGCTTAGAGAAGAAATCAAAACTTTGATTAAACTCGAACACCTGAAAGTTGAACATAAAATTCAACAGCTTGAGCTATTGTAAATTATGCTTGTGATTTACTACAACCATGACGCCTCTAAAATACAATTTCAAAAGCTAGAAAAGAAGGGGAGGAACAGTGAGGGAAAAGGGAAAATGGCACAAGAGATCGACCTCTACAATAAGCAAACCGACAAAATACTGAGAACTTGTAGGTGAACAAAAACAGGTAAAAGATCTTTGCAGAATTTGGATGCAACAAAGAAAGAGCAGATTACAACAACTTTTTTCATGTAAACATTGAAGTCTCAAGTTGCAAGAAGAGCCTCATATATATCAATTTATTTCGGAAACACGCTAATCATATCTACATTAGATACTTGAAAACAATGAAATGCAAACCCGTAAAACTTGCTCCATTAAATTTGTTGGAAAATTAAAAATGTACAATTAAACAAATTATGATTACAAGTTGGCACTTCATAAAAGGTAAGGTTTTCCACCCCAACTACTTCACTTCTTTTATCTTTCCCTTTTTCACCCTCCCCTTCTTCCCCATAACAACAAGATATTAAAGCTGCAATAATTAATCTTTTTCACAAAGTGGTTCAGTTCAAATAATAGAAATAAACAAATAAATAAATAAAATAGAACAGACCCAACATATAATAAAGCCTGAAAAACACAGATAAGAAAAAAAAAATTATGTTTGGCTGAAAATTGAATCTTTCTTCTACACAGTGAGAGTGTACCAAAGCCCATTGCAAAAGAAATAAAGAAAAATAAATAAAATACAATTTAAGACAAAAAATGCTAAAAAGAAAGGGGAAAGAAAAGGCAGATACCTTGAAAGAAAACTGCAAATAAAACCCTGAAAAAATAGTTAAATTCAGTCTGCCATTGCCAATATGGGTTTTCCAAGAATTAGCTGCAATTGCTCCAGTTTACGACTTACAAAGTTACTGTAAAAAAAGGGGATTAAATCAATTTACAACAAAAACAAAAAAAAAAAAGAATTTTTAACATTGAAAATAAAACTGGGCATAAGGAAATTGCTTACCTGGGAAAAAATTCTTCATCTATTTATGATTCTTAAAAATTGCCAATTTGGGAATTGGTGAAACTGTATTTTAGTGCAAAAAAAAAAAAAGTCAATCAAAAAGTCCCATTTTTGTATTAATGGATCCAGCCCATGAAAGAAAAACTGGCTGTTTCGACCCAATAGGCCTATCAATTCCATTTGGTGTAATTAGTTTTAAATTTCTTATAAAATATATTTATATGTATGCCATGAAACAGAAAGTTAATTAAATCCCTAAATTCTTATTTTCTTTTGATTATAACCGTTTCTTCATTGTTGTTAGTTCTTTTTTTTAATAAAATTTCTTTTTAAAAGAATTGAATTTGAAATAATTGATATAAATTTTGAAATAGGACTAAAAGAATATATATGCCTTTTATGATTATGCTTAAATTCATGATTTTTTTTTTACACTTAAAAAAAATGCTATCTATTGTGCATTATGTACCAATCTGTAATGTTTGTATAATGGAAATTATTATATATGCTTACAAAACAAGGATTTGTCTGAATCTTTTGTATATTTATGTCATATTCATGTCTAATACTTAAACATTTTTAACAAATTAAAATATATATTAAATTTGGCTGGATACAATTAAAAAAAAAAGGACAACTTTCATGCGGATAATGTCTATTCTTTTATTATTGTGTTTACCATTAGTTATTCTTTATAAAAATAATTATTTTTCAAATATGAATCTAATATTTATCATATATTCTTAATTGATGATTATAATATACATATATATATTATATCCGTTTTCATAATTTTATATTTTAAAATTATTGTATCATCGTCTTTATACGATGTTGTATCATTGTATTTGTAATATTATTTGTCATAACCGATATTATTAACATATATATAATATATACATTTATGTAAAATAACAAAATAATAATTTTTTTTCATTAATAAATTGTTCTTTTAGAGTGATTTAACGTTAGAAAGTTCATGACGTTCTTAACTCACCAGGCAACAAGGCATGTTATTACCTCTTACTTTTTCAAATTTGAACGTACATCAACTTTATCTGCATTGGGCATGTTGAATTTAAAGAAAATTGAAGCTACTTTTAGTTCTTCACCAGTCATCATGTTTTTGCTTGACCCTATCATGCTGATATTTATTTCAAAAGATTCCTGTAATGATAATATTGAGGCTGAAGCAGGGATAGATTATTTGCTATTTCTCCATACTAGCTTCTCCCAATCATTTTCTTGCTGCCAAGTTATATGAAAGCTTCACAAATTTGTTTTCAATTAAATTGCCATTTACAGCTTTAGAATCCTTGGTATAGGTGAAAGCTATGGAGTCATCATATACTTTGCAGGGACTTCGCTCATGCTTACGACATACACAGTGGCATTAGCACTATCAATATTGTGGAAAATGGAATGTCTTTGCCAACAGTTGCGTAATCTTTTTTAGAGTGCTAGACTCTTAGTTCTTGTGATCAAAGATCACATCCTGACAACTTCGAGTACTACAAAATGGGATGTCTTTAATTTGAAGAATGAACATGATTGCTGCATTGTTGCATTAAGCTCATGATTTAATTATTGATATGAACTCATTAAGGTTTTTGAATCTTTTTGGTCAAGAAGACTGCAATCAACACAGATCTTCAAGCAATCAAGCCTGTTTTGCAGATTGCAGAAACACATTTGTCTTCGTTTAGTTTGTGTCTTTTTTTTTTTTTTTTTCATTTGATTCCTCAAATCAGTCTGATTACAGATTCTTATTTGACTCTGTACATCTTATGAAATCTGAAATACAGCTCTTCTTTTTTTTTTGTACAAAAAAGTGGGTTGAATAGGATGTTTGTACTCTGGATACAAGCTTGTTAATTTACAGCTTAATCAATCCATTGACCACAAAAGTACTCTATAGGTTCAAAATGTAAAATTCAGTACAATCAAGCCAACTGACTTCTAATAATTTTGGTTCTAAACATTAAGAGAAGGTTTCAAAATAGATAATTTGCAGCTTGTATCAAATTAAGACGCTACCATCAGACAAAAGAAAATTCAAAATCATAGCTACTTATTCATGCTTGAACAAGAAAAACTTCTACATATATCAGAGCAGGCATTGCCCCCACCTGTTAACCTCTCCATGATAGGTTTCCCTTGCTTAAGATGTGATGTCCAAGCCACACAATAGGTCTGTTATGCCTACACACGAAGTTCATGCCACGTAATAAGTTCGTTGTCTCTACATGTGAGAAGAGTATTAAAATGGAGAAAAAGTAAAATCTCACATCAGTATAATTAGGGACATCTGAGCAGATAAATATAACAAGGGTCATTAAAGTAACTTGCCTCAAACATCCTTGTCATTGTGTCTATTGGTAGCATAACAACAATGTGGTGAAACCAGGCTTTCAATATAGATAGCTGGCAGAAAACAATCCCGGTCATTGCATGGTGTAAAAGTTTTTGATGTCTTTTCCTTTGGATCATACCAGACTAATTCCCTCCCATCATAATCTATTACAACTTTACCAGTTTTTGTATAGCATAATGCGTACTCCCAGTATTGTACTGAACAACCTGGTCCATGCAAAGTTTCTCTATGAACACTGAACAACCTAGTCCATGAGGACTTGACGCCATATTCCTTCAACTGCCATGCCTCCAAAACAGTTTCATAACTGCACCCATCGAACAGACATAAGCAATCTCCTGAAATCCCCAAAATCAGCAAATCATGTTTTGTCTCTTTGATATTATCTGGTATTGGCACCAGTTCATAGAATTTCTCTTCTATCATGTGAAATGCAACAATTATGTAAATTTTTTTCGGACCAGTTTGTCTTGATGCTAACCAATGCAATGCTCCATGGAGAAAAATCCCTTCTCCTTCTATTTCTATGCCAGATTGGAGACCCTGAATCCTTCGCCAGATGTTAGTTTTCAATTCCAGAACTTCAACTTCAGTTTCATTAGAAGCAACAGTGAATATAGGGCGAGCAACTCTAACTACTTTATAATCATCAGTTGAGGAATTATAACCAAGACCGTAAGAAAACATACCACATCGATCAAAAGGACGGAGCTTTGCCAATTCCAAGGCTTCTCTAATTGTTGGATTCCACAAGAAGATGCGTTCATGCTCAAAGACTACACATATCAAGCCATCACAAGATCCTCCTAAATCAAGCCAACCCACCAATTCATCAGAGTCAGGAGTCTTCTTCATTGCTACGGGATACTCAAGCTCAAATATTAGTTTGCTTTCATCATCAAGATCATCACCAGAAGCTTCACAGGCTGCTGATTCAAGAGGTACAGTGATGAGAAGTACCCTCTGGCTGATGCTTTTCTTCTTTGACTGTGCAAGGTGTAATTTGGCAAACTGAGGATCAGAGATCAAAGACAACCATGGCTTGGATACACACTTGAGTTGTATCAGATATTTGACAGGCAGCCTGGACAGTATGTTGACAATAATGTCTTCAGGGAGCTGAGGAAGTGTTTCCATGGCTTCACTTCAGATTAATTCTTGTGTCTGCCGTTGCTCTTTTGATAGCCTTTAACTTAATTAGCTAAACCCACATTGTCTTAATCACCAAGAAGCTTACATTGTACACTATACCAAGAATCTGGAATTTTGGACATTTTTGAAAGGGTCATCAGCTCTAATACCAAAATATTGAATGGAGAAATTTCTCAGTCAGAATAACTTTGGCTGCATACAGATTTTTTAATTCAATATCAGCAACTCCACTTTGAAGTAGTCATTGTAAATGGGAAACTAATTCAATATCCGTCAAAGCTATTGAATAATCTAATTGCACCATGAAACATAACACAATTTCAATTTATTATTTATTAATCCAGAGGTGGGAGGAAAATAGAGATTTGTACAGAGGAAGCCATATGCATAGTCCACTCTTTTCCAATTTAGATTTGTTTTACTATCTTCTGAAAAGTAATTGACAAGAATACTATACTTGTCCAACATGTGGCAATTCACAAGACCATATTTTATTAAATTTTCTTGCTGCTGTCATCAATAATAAATAAAATTAACTTGGTACTTCTATTTCTCCTTTTTCTGGAAATATCAAATAGGAAGTTGATATCTTCAAATAGAAGATACTGCAGAACCTAAAGTTTAGTTCAATTAGTTTATGCAATCATCTTTAAAATATGACATCTAGCTAATTTGAAATTCAAATCTTAGCAATTACAACCCCTTTCTTTATCTTTGAGCTACGACTGTCTTTTAAAAAAAAAAAAACTCAAAGAAATTGCAATAATCTTCTACTTTAATCAAGAAATGAAGCTATTAAATCGCATACAAAACAAAATCCATACTTTTTTTGGCATGTGGTGTTATTTGTATACTAACAGTTATAACAACTTAAACTTGACCTAACAGTGACTTCCCCACGTGTCAAAAAAATATACATTATTGTTTCAAAAAATGAAGAATGATATGAATGATAAGACTGTATCTCAGTTATGCTACTAAACTGAAATTATTGCCTCGTCACTAACTTTAACTCTTGAACTGATTGCTAGATGGAACCAGTGAACCATCAATTGGAGAGTCCATCCGATATTGCTATAATTTGTTAATAATTGATATGAAAATTATGCTTTTATAAACAATTATGATAATTTTTTTTTACAAGTAATATTAGACTACACAATAAAAATAATCATCTCTCATCAACCTATAATTCAAATTCAAAACCTTCAAGATGAAGCTTTAATTGACAGGTTCCTGGAAACATAGTACTAATGATCATTTGAAGCAATCATGTAGTAGCAATGATTTGGCCACACTTTGCAATGCAAGTAGTTGAAGACCAGAGTGGCAGTAGAAATCAAATTTCTTGCAAAAAATCCTCCTCTAAGTCCATGTATGCAAATGTGCTTGTATATGATTTTTGAATTGTTCTAACATTTTCTGCATAAAATTCGCTGGAACAGAGAAAAGAGAGGCTCTTCTGCAGATTCTATGCGGTATACAAGCAAATGGTTGAACGTACTCAGTTCCAAATAAACATAATTTTGTATAAAAAGCAGAAACTTTGACGAGCAAGGCAGCAACCACGATCGGATTAAGCATAAAGGACTACTAAAGGGAAACAAAAGATTGAGTTACAACTATAGTTGTCTTAGGTTTTGTACAGAACCAAACCACTGACATTTTTTGTTCAACTGCTACAAACTATTCTAAGGAGCATATATGGCACTGCACAAACAACAAATTTACTGCCCTCATTTGAGAGCATTGAAAGGACAAAAGATAAATCGCAAAGAAAGCAATCAAAATTCAAACTAGGAGAAACTATTTTTTTCTTCTTACCTTCGTTCGACTCCAAAACATATATATACACAAACAGGCATATAGTTCACATAAAACTCAAGCTATGTATACTTATGTTGTATGTAAATATATTCATTTGAAAGTGCATGTGTATTTTTTTTTCCCTTCTATAAGCCAATAGAGCTTACCTAGGACACCCTTAATGTCTGAACTTAGATACTCCAATGAAATAAGCCAATCAACGACCTTTGCATGTAAACATTCAAGTCTCAAGCTGCAAAAAGAGCCTTATATATATCAATTTATTTTGGAAATACGCGAACCTTATCTAATTAGATACTTGAAAACAATGAAATACAAACCCGAAAAACTTGCTCCATTAAATAGTTGGAAAATTCAAAATGTACAATTAAACAAATTATGATTACAAACTAGCACTTCATAAAAGGTAAGACTTTCCACCCCCAACTGTCTCTTTTCTTTTATCTTTCCCTTTTTCACCATCCCCTTCTCCCCATAATAACAAGATCCACAAAACTGCAATAATTAATCTTTTTTCACAAAGTGGTTCAATTCAAATCATAGAAGTAAATGAAATATAAATAAAATAGTACAGACACAACATATAATAAAGCCTGAAAAACACAGATAAGAAAAAACAATTCTGTTTGGCTGAAAATTGAATCTGTCTTCTACACAGTGAGAGTGTACCAAAGCCCATTGCAAAAGAAATAAATAAAAATAAATAAAATAAAATTTAATACAAAAAAAAATGCTAAAAAGAAAGGGGAAAGAAAAGGCAGGTACCTGAAAAGAAAACTGCAAATAAAACCCTGAAAAAATAGTTAAATTCACTCTGCCATTGACAATATGGGGTTTCCAAGAATTAGCTGCAATTGCTCCAGTTTACGACTTACAGGGTCACTGTAAAAACAGGCGATAAAATCAATTTACAACAAAAAAATATATTTAACTTCGAAAATAAAACAGGGTACAAGGAAATTGCTTACCTGGGAAAATATTCTTCGTCTGTTTACGATTCTTAAAAATTGACAAATTGGGAATCGGTGAAATTGTGTTTTAGAGTAAAAAAAAGTCAATGTGAAAGCCCCATTTTGGCATTAATGGACCCAGCCCATGAACTGAAAACCGGGTCTTTCGACCCAATATGCCTATCAAATCCAATTCGGGTAATTAATTTTAAATTGGACATAAAATATATTTATATGTAAATCTGGTTCATGTATCTGTTTTTATTTATTTCATGTGAAATATGTGTAAACTATAAAAACTTATAATATTACAATTGTGTGATATGGGAAACACAAACTCTTCTTCTTTTTTGTCAAACTTATACAATTTTTGCTAAATTTTTAAATTTTGTCTTTTTTTGTATTATGTCACTATATGCATATAAAGTTGACAAATTTATTTATATGTATCTCATGTGTATTTTTTTGGCTTAATGTGATGAATGATCCTAAATTATAATATAATATTTAAATTTTAAAAATTTTTAATATAATATCTAAATAATAAATCTATTAACTAATATAATATTCACTTCTAAAATGATTAATTTTAAATAATGAAGATAAAACAACCTTCCAAGCATACTAGTAGTTGGAATTGGAGGAAATTGCTTCAAATAAAACAAATTGTGCAAAACTTCATCAAAAGGGAAAATTGAATGGAGGTATGACTATTTTCAAAAGGACGTTATGATTCTGCCATGGTATAAAAAAGATCAGACTATTACAACGAAAAATGGGGTGATAGAAACTAATATGATTTAAGTATCACATCCTAAAATATTCGTTAATAACCTAGATAATGATTTTGAATAGGCTTCCAATGAATGATAGGCTGCGATCATAGGAAATGAAAATTGATAGTATATGCAACTTATGCCACAATGAAGATGAAACAAGTGATCATGTTTACTTTGAGTGTATCTATACAAAAGAAGTTTGACAAAAGATTTTTCAGCTATGCAAGATTGATGGAAGAATAAATAGTTGGTACGTAAAACTGAGCTGGGTAGAGAACATATTAAAAGGGAAAGCCTTAATGTCAACCTTATTGAGAATTACTTCAAATGCATATATATATATATATATATATATATTTCATATGGGGGGAAAGGAACTAATGGACATTTAAGCAAGGGGGATGACAACAGCACAAATGGTGGACAAAGTCAAGGAAATTGTAAGATATAGGTTGCATAGATTGAAACATATTGTAAGAGATATGGTAAATAAAAAACTTAGTGAAGATTGAAATCTGAATGTAGATTTTTAGAATAAACTATTTATGAATTGTCTTCCTTTATTTGTTAAGTTGTAGAACAGTTATAATATAACAATTCCAACTGACTTTAGATAAATAAAATTTCAGCTTATCCAAAAAAAACCTCAAAGTACCACATTAGTTAATAACTCCATAATTCAAATGTGACATTAAAGATTTTAAAAAATTAGTTTTCATATTAAATATTTTATTATAATTTATAGATCATATTAACATTTTTTTTTTAGTTTTTGAAACACAAAATTAATTATTAAAGCCCTAAAATTTTATTTTCTTTTAAATATGACATTTTCTTCATTGTTTTTTTTTTTTTTTCAATAAAATTTGAATTTGAAAAAAAATGGATATAAATTTTGAAATAGAATTAAAAGAATATATATGCCTTTTATGATTATACCTAAATTCATGACTTATTTTTTACACTTAAAAAATGCTTTTTATTACACATTATGTACCAAAATGTAATGTTTTGAGTAAAAATTCATTTTTATAAATGAACGGTATAATTTTTTTTTAATTTAACAAATGAGATTAAAATGCCGCCATATATCTATTTTTCTTTTTTCTTTTACTATATTCTTAATATGTATTTCCCAAATAATTCTAAGAGTAAAGTTAGCAAAACTCTACCATTAGATGTGATGATTTCTCTTTGTACAATGGAAATATAATGTTTTGTATAATGAAAGCTCATCATCAGTCATCAATTTTTTGCTTTACCTAGTCATGCTCAGGAATAGATCCAGGATTTATATTCAATGGGGGCAAAATACATATAATATTAAATATATATAAGTTAACTAAGATGCATAAAAAAACTATTTTAGTATACATAAAAATAACATATTACAATTGTTTTCTATGACTTTTCTTATTTTGAAAGCATTGTAAAATCTTTTCATTATCAATATTACAAAATATATATTTTTCTATATATGTAACCAAACAATCATTCATCCAAGAATCTCTCATTCAATTGAACAAACGATTCTTCACAATCTTCATAGCAGAAAAAGCTCTTTCAACTGATGCAGTAGAAATTGGTAATATCAAAGTTAATTTCACAAGTAAACATACCAATGGATACACAAAATATTTTGTTAGCTTTAAACTGATCTTTATTTTGAAATGACAAATCATTAAGCTAAATATGCTTGATCAAGATTTTAAAAAAGATTTATTTAGTACATGTTCTTAAGTTTTATATTTTGATACTAAATAACTAATATGATTCTCAAAGTTTAAACAAAACTTTCTTTATGTTTTTTTATTTCTCAAATCAAAACTATCCTTAAATATTATCTATTTGAGCTTAAATGAAAGTCCAATTATTTTTTTTTAAATTCACTTTTTCATTTTGGACTTAATACAATTTTAATAATATTGGTTTTGAGAAATAGATTAACTTAAGAAAGTTATTTTACAAGAACAAAGTTTTCCAACATTGAACTTATTTTATTTTTCTGTATTAATTCACAAAGCTTTAATATTTGAAGTTTATATGTTGAAAAGCTTTTTGAGTCTACTTTATAATGGATCAAACAAAATCAAAATCCAAACTTTCTAAAAAAAGATTTTGAATTTTTACTAGATATTTATACAGTTGTCTAAAAACTATATAAGGGGTAGTTCTAAAAATTCACTATAATTCATACACAATGAATTAGGTGATGAGCTTTATATGGATAAAAAGCCATTTTTTAAGTCTAGTTTCTAAATCTTCAAATAGTTTGTAATTTGGAGTTGTATAATTCAAGATATGCTGAAATTAGTGAGTAAAGTGTAAAATAAGAGACAACCACCCAGCTTAGATAGGATCAATCTCTTCATGGAATGGATCGGTTGATTTTTTACCTAGAACAGATTTTTGTGCTCCAGGTTGAAGAAGGGATCAATCACCCTATGGAAGGGATCGATTACCTCCTTAAACCAATTGATCCCCTCAAGGAAGGGATTGTTTGGGTTGTGATTTTCAAAGGCAAATTTATTCCAAAACATGAACCAATCGATCTCCTCATGGAAAGGATCAATTGGGTCTTGTCCAGAACACTCTAACAGCTAGTTTTTTGTGCCTCAAATGGGCATTTCTTTTTCCCAAGCTTTATTAATGGCTAGTTCTTCAATTGCTTTATATACTGACCACTCTAATATACCAAGAAGGTTGATGAACTAAGAGAGCAAGAGCCAACAAGTTATATTTTTATTTTCTCATAGAATCAAAAGTTGTTAGAGCTCAAAATTTATATATTTTGTATTTGTTGTATCCAAGCAATATTGTGCTCTTCATTCATCATATTTCTTTATATTTCATTAGGTAAATACTTAGCCTTTAAGAGCAGTTTTAAGTTTACATTTTTATTAAGTGATTTTATAATCAAGAAGTGAGATATCTTCTTGAATTTATGGGATTAAAAGGTTGCTACTTAGCCTAGAAAGTAAAAAGTGTAAGGTTTTTATCTTAGGCCTTAGAGAGAAAAAGATAGGGTTGTAATTTTAATTCAAGATTAATGAATTGAAGCCTTGGTGTGGACAACCAAAAAGAGAGGATGTAAATGCTTTGTGGAGAAGGACTAAACCTCTATTAATCATTGTGTTTGATTTCTCTATCCCTATCTCTTTACTTTGATTATAGTTTATATTTGCTTCAAGTTCATCAATTGTTGTCATTTGCATTATGTTGTGATATTGATTTTAATTTTTCATTCAATTATTTTAAAATCATTGTTTGGGAAGAATTTGGATAAATCTAATTTATCCCCTCTTAGACCACCATATCACCTAAAAATCTAACAATTGGTATCAAAGCTTTGGTCTTTTTTTTATAGGTTTAACCACTTTAAGTAAAGATCCTATAGCTTAACTTAGGTTTCAAGATAGTGAGAAAGTCTTCAAAGCTCTTTATGTTTGATAAATTTGAATTTAATGAATGAAAAATGAAGATAAAAGGTGTTCATAATGACCAATGATTTTAAAGCTTGGAATATGATACAGAAAAGGCTTGGAATTCCTTCAAATGATGTAAATTATATGAAGTAAGTGATGAATGATGCCAAGGTAAAATGCTTATTCTATAGAGCTCTTAACTTTCACAATTTTAACTTGATTTCAAATTGCTCCACTTTAAATAAAATATGAAGAAAGTTTGATAAGCTACATGAAAGATAAATTTTCAACCAAAATACATCATGTCTCATGGCTATTGAAGAGCCTACGGTAACCTCTAATTTAATTTATTCAAACTCATATACCTTTGATGAATTGCAAGATACCTTTGATAAATTGCAAGATACCTTTGATGAGTTAGTTATGAAATTTGAGTTAATAAAAATGAAATACAAGAAAATGATTTCAAAATTGAATGTTGAAAATGATTTTTTAATAAATGCAAAAAATATTTTGAAAAAAAAATGAAAAATTGAAAATAGATTTTGAGACCTTTCAAAATAGAAATGAATTTTAGAAAAAGAAAATTTTGATTTGAAAAAAAAAATTGATGAATTGATGAATTAAAACAAAATCTTTTCAAGACTTGTTTAAGTGCTAAAATGATAAAATGTAATTTTTGTAATTTTTATGGTCATACTATATATACTTGTCTTATAAAAAGAAAAGTTCTATTTAGAATTAGACAAGTATGGGTTCCTAAAGGAATAAAAGACTTGGTGATTAACTTTGAAGGACCCAAAACAATTTGGGTAACAAAAATCAAATGAGATTATCTTTTGTAGGTGTGCTAGAGTAAGGAGTTACAAAGTGATTTTGAAG